ATGGTTGGCACTTCCCAGAGCTTGCGAAGGAGGTGCCCGAGCCGCTTAAATACGCCAAAGTCGCGCTACTCATTGGTAGCCGCAGTACACTGGAGGAGCGTGACGCCGAGGAGGTCACGCAGCAGATAGCCGATATACTTGAGGGAGACGAGGCCCTCGCAGCCCGTGTATACGAAAAGGCCGTGACGTCCATGGGTGGGGACATGGCGGAGGTGGATTGGTTGAACATCCGCGCCTTCATGGAGCGTGTGACATCGCTGGGTTACTACCGAGAGTCGCTGCAGCAGTACCTTGTTGAAAAAATGATGCTCGTTGCGCCAAACTTGACGGAGCTGATGGGACAAAACATCGGTGCGAAGCTCATTTCAAAGGCGGGCTCACTGACAAACCTCGCCAAGGCGCCTGCCAGCACCATTCAGATCCTTGGCGCCGAGAAGGCACTTTTTCGCGCCCTTAAGAAACGTAAGGGCAACACACCGAAATACGGGCTTATCTTTCACTCGACATTTATTCAGCGCGCAGCGAAGGAGCACCGCGGGAAGATCTCACGCTATCTCGCCAACAAGGCTGCCCTTGCCTGCCGCATTGACTGCTTCATGGAAACTCCTCCGGCTGTCTTTGGTGAGAAGCTGCGGGAGCAGGTGGAGGCGCGGTTGAACTTCTTCGACACGGGCAACAGGCCGCCAACAAACATGGTCGCCATGGCCGAGGCACTCGAGCAATACCAAAAAATCCTCCGCAAGCGCTCCAAGAGGCAACGTGAGGCCCAGTCCGCAGCAGGAGGCAATGGTGATGACGAGGTTAAGCAGGAAGTGCCAAAGAAGAAACGTGCACGCCGTGAGGAGGTGCAGTAAATACAAATACATATATATTTTGTTTACTGTGTGTTTGTGTGTATTGGACGTAATAAAAAGCGTGAGGCGGTGGTGTGAAGAAGCAAAGCAAAGCAAAAAAAAAAAAAATGGGCCGAGGTGCATCGACTGTTGTCGCGGTGGATGGATGACGCACGCAGAGGCGCGAGGGGAGGAGAGGACGATGCGTTTTTATTTTCTCTCTGTGCATGTTGTTCGTGTCTTCTCCACTTGCACCGCGTGTCATTGACCCTCTGTTTGTGTTCACTGCACTGCCGTCACCCCGCACCGGGTACCTTTTGATAAAAGAAGAAGAAGAAAAAAAAAGGAAAAAGAAGGAAAGAAAGGAAGAAAATCCGCCAACAGCTTCAGGCGAAGCAAAAAAAAGAAAAAAAAAACAATCAAAAATAAAAGACGTTGAAAAAAGGGGGGAAAAAAAAAGAAAAAAGAAATAAAGAAGAAGGTTGACGTGTCGTGCTTATAGCCCTAACAATATTGGCATCGGCAGCGAGGTGGGAGGAATTGTTTACATGACGGATAAGGCGGGAAACGAGGACGGAGATGCGAAGGTCCGGCGAGTGCCGGCAGGCTCTTTGTGTTCTCCGACATGTCCCATGTACGTTTGTGTGTGATGCCGTCGCCTCACATGTCCATGTTTTACTCTGGACAAAGTGAGTCCTTTTTCCTTCTTTTTTTTTACTTCATTTTTTTTTTTTTTTTTTTGATTCTGTTTGTCTATTCCTCCCCGTCCTGAAGTGTTCTGCGAGGAATTCCGCTGTGCAGGCTGGAGGCACACAAACACACACTCTCTGCATCTGTAATTTTATTATTGTTTTTTTTTTTTTTTTTGTAGAAATGTCGGCTTGTAGCCCGTTGCGGTTCAGTGAGGAGGACGCAGTGGTACTGGACCGCTGGATAGATGCTGTCTGCGGCGAAGAGATGCAATTTCCCGCTCACAGGCGGGGCCAGTTTGCCGCCTACAAGCAACACCTGGAGGGGATTCGTGCAGCGGACGGTCATTCGCTCTTCCACCAAATGTCCCGCTCCGGTACGCGAGAAACGTTAGCCCTGCAGAACGCGCTGTCGGTTTTGAAGCAGTTGTGTAGGTGTGATATGGAGGAGACGGAAAAGGTTAGGAAGGAGATTCAGGCTGTGAAACGCACATTACATGAGAGGTCAATGGCTGTAAAGGAAGAAAAAATGGACGGATCCCCCGCACCATCTCCACAAGTAACATCGGGATTTAATCCTGTTCCCGCTGCAGAGAGCAGCCACGATGCATACGAAAGTCCTATGAAAGTCGCGGAGCGTTACGTTGCGGAGATTGACCGTCAACGGGAGTCGAACCGCAAGAATATGGAATTGTGCCATGGGCGGAAACTGAAGCTGCTTGATCAGCGCAACCGGTTGTTGGAGGAGGAAAATGCACTTCGTGAAGCGGAACAATCCGTCACATCTCAGTTTGATGAAACGAGTGTGGCACTTGCCAGAAAACGTGACGCGTTGGCGCTGGAGCAGGCAGCGTGGAAGGAGCTGCAGCAGTCCAGCACTTGCGCAGAGGCGCAAGGCGCGGGAAACATGAACGCTGCAAAGGACGAAGAAGAAGAAGAAGAAGAAGAAAAAAAGAAGGAACACGTGTACGCCCTGGCGGAGGCACGCTCATTACTGAATGAGGCAAGCATCAAAATTGCACAAACGCAGGCAGAGCTGGGCTACCAGGATGGTTCCCATGCGGTGCGTTTTCGTCAGGCGCGTCAGCGACTAAAAGACTGGCAGGAAATGGCGGAACAAATTCGCCGCATACACGACCAGCTGCAAGCACGGACACGCGTGATTAGCATGGTGGTCGAAGCCAACGCCGTGGCGCTGGAGGCGGAGAGCGGGCTTGGCCAGTTGGAACGGCTGCGGAAACTTAACCAACTTCTTCTTGAGAAGTCCGCCAAAATACTTGGCCTGCGCCCTGAAGGGAAAGAGGAAGGGGGAAAAGGAATCGTCAGCAGTGCGCCTGGCCGGGGTGAGGGGGTCTTGCGAGACCTGTTCACCAGTCGCCAAAGTGTGGCATCCTCCGTGTCCATGACGGACGCGGCGAGTTCCTTGTCAACCCCCCGGCGTCGCTCCTCCGTCTCACAGACGACACCAACTGTTGCCGTGACGGACATCTCTTTTTCGCCTGTGGTCGGTGACGCAATGAGCCCCAATGCACACCGGTCGTCTTTGGAAAAGGAGCGGCGGCACCGCCAGGCATATGCCCTTTTGACGGACTTGCAGCGATGGGAAATGGCGCTGGTAAAGGAGGCTGCAGCGCTTTACGGCATCTGTGAAAAGGGGATTGGTTCAGCGTCTGCAACAAACTCTTCGGAGTCACCGAACGCGACTCTACAGGAACTCCGCAGCATGCTGCTCGAAGCATAATATGTGGGGTGCTAAAAAGTAAGCAAATATTCAATATAGAATTACTTTTTTAGTGTATAATTACATATGTACATGCGTACTTACATATCTAGTTATTTATTTGTATGCATTCTTTTAATGGTATGGAGGAAGCGGAAATATGCGTATCCTCTTGTTTTTGTTTATTGTTTTGTTTTGTTTTGGATCCCTTGTTTGTTTGTGTGTGTGCATGTACATGTGTTTGAGGTTCCGTGTGTGTGTTTTCTATTGCTGATTCGCTGGACATCTTTCCGGCGGTGTTGCCTGGCCATCCCGCCTTCAATGGTGTCGACACCGCCGGCTGGTATCGCTCCTTGCCACCAAAACCGCGTCCTTCGAGGCGTATCTTCTGTGGGAGCGGACATGACGGGTAGTGCGCACACCTGAGACACCGCACACACAAACACAAACACCTCTCATCGGCGGTGATGTCGCCCCACCAAATGGTGTTGTCACCGCACGTTGGACGCGGTTCCGCATGACGGCACTGTTGCTGCGCGAGATGAGGAAGTGTGTGGGGGGAAAAAAAAAAAAAACTCCCCCGGCATTGTGAGGGCTGCATGAAATGACCGGAGTCGTGGAACGCCTTTAAAAAAAGGGCAGATTGGTGATTTCTGTATGAATGTCGCAGTCCTTTTTGCCTGAATGGCTGGGGCTGGTGTTTTTTTTTTTTTTTTTCATTTTTTTTTTTTTTTTTGTGTGTGTGCGCATTGTCGTTATCGTGTTTTTTTTTTTTTTTTTTTTTTTGATTTTTTTTTTTTTTTTTAAGGGGGGGAGTCGTTTGTTCGCAGAGAATTGTGACTGGAAGGAAAAATCAGTTGTGGGATAAACGCAGCGATTTGTTCCCTTTTTTTTTTTGATTGCCGCCTGCTTTTTTGAGTAACACGAAAACACTGCACACACACACAAATACACGCGTCCCTTTTCTCTTATTTGATGATAAGGCCAGTTTTACGCACACGCAAACACTTCTCTGTGGCTGTGCGCGTGAGGCTTCATTTTTGTTTATTTA